TCATAAAATTTTTACGGTTAGCCATTTTAAGGGAGGATCTGGGGATGGCACAGAGAGAAGTTAAAATGAGAGATCCAAGGTAGCATTTATTTTTGGAGTCTTTAGCACAACTATAATCACTCTGTAGAGTGAGAAACTCTGGTTTAGGATGAGTATACATTTTTTCACTGAGATTGGTAACTACAATTTCCATTTCATAACAAAGAAAGAGCTTTGGAGAAGTTAGTAATCTGGTCTAAATTCACAAGGCGGTTAAGTAAGGGAAATGTGATGCATTCCTAGGCCTGCTAGTTCCAAAGATCCTCTCTTAACCTCTAGGAATAACGCCTCTCAGGAAAGGGAGGAGGGATCTGGGTTTGGGTACACACACGTGCACCCAAAACACTTTCTACACTGGAGACCCTGAGAGTGGGAATTTGATAAATTGCTCTGGACAAATCTATCACTAAGAAATCATGTGTAGAATATTCTAAAAGTATAAAGATTTTTTTCAAGAAAAAAAGTCTGGAGATTTCACTATATCCTTAGAAATATTTATGACACAAGAAAAATTAATACTCTTTTAGAATGCTTTGGTAGGGAGAATAAATATTCAAGACAATCTACCTATTTTATATCAGCCATTACCAGCCATAGATTAGAAGATTTGTCAACTAACACAATCACTGAGAGGCAGAAAATATTAGGTTCTGGTGGTGGAAAATGGGCACTGGTGGAGGGATGGGTATTTGATCATGGTATGACCGAGATCCAAGCACAAAAATTTGTAAATCTACAACTGTACCTCATGGTGTTTCACTAATAATTAAAAAAAAAAAAGAAATCCGAATGGCAAAAAAGCACATGAGAAAATGCTCTACATCATTAATCATCAGGGAGATGCAGATCAAAACCACAATGAGATACCATCTCACACCTCAGAGACTGACCCACATTCAAAAGAACAAAAGCAACCGATGCTGACCCGGATGTGGCGAGAAAGGGACACTCCTTCACTGTTGGTGGGAATGTCGACTGGTTCAGCCCTTCTGGAAAACAGTACGGACGATTCTCAAAAAATTAGAAATTGAGCTCCCATTTGACCCAGCAATACCACTCCTGGGAATATATCCCAGAGAAGCAAAAATGTATCGTCGAAATGACATCTGCACTTGTTTGTTCATTGCAGCACTCTTTGCAATAGCCAGAAACTGGAAGAAACCTGAATGCCCAAGAACAGATGACTGGTTAAAGAAACTTTGGTACATCTACACAATGGAGTACTATGTAGCTGTTAGAAAAGATGAAGTCATGAAATTTATATACAAGTGGTACAACATGGAAAGTATCATGCTAAGCGAAATGAGTCAGAAAGAGAGGGATAGACATAGAAAGATTGCATTCATCTGGGGGATATAAAGTAACAAAATATGAGATTAATACCCAAGAATAGCTGAGATGAGCACCAGGAGGATTACTCCATAGCTTAGTGGCCAGTCAGGCATTCTAGAGGAAAGGGCAGCTCAGATAGAGAAGGGAACACCAAATAAAGGGTGTTTGGAGGATCCTCCCAGGAGGGGAGATGCATGTCGAAAGTAGACTATGGACTGAACATGTTTGCCACTCAATGCCTCTTTTGCAGACCACAACACCCAAAAGGAGAGAGAGAACACAAGGGATTGCCCTGCCACAGAGGCAGGGGGGGATGGGGGGATGGCGGTGGGGGGGATATTATCCATGGTGGTGGAAAATGGGCACTGGTGGAGGGATGGGTATCTGATCATTGTATAATCAAACCCAAGCACAAAAAATTGTAAATCTACAACTGTACCTCATGGTGTTTCACTAATAAAAAAATTTTTTTTAAAAATATAAAAAAAGAAAATATTAGGTTCATATATAAATATCATAGTATATGAAGTAATTTAAATCCTGTGCTTTAAGAAATGAAGCTAACATCCTCATTTGTTATACTATATGACCGAGCCATTGTGAAAAAGGGCCATGAGTGATGGCAGAGAAATTTATTCTGACTAATCTCTACTGAAGTAGCTATGTACTAATAGACTTTTCCTATGTTATGCTGAACTTAGCAATATTAATTTTTAAGTACAAAGTACAAAATATACATATTTCTTTGGAATAGGTAAGAACACTGGGCTAGAGCGATAGCACAGCAGGTAGGGTGTTTGCCTTGCATGGAGCCGACCCGGGTTTGATTCTTCCGTCCCTCTTGGAAAGCCTGGCAAGCTACTGAGAGTATCCTGCCCTCACGGCAGAGCCTGGCAAGCTCCCCCGTGGTGTATTCGATAAGCCAAAAACAGTAGCAACAAGTCTCACAATGGAGACGTTACTGGTGCCTGCTTGAGCAAATCGATGAACAATGGGAGGACAGTGCTACAGTGCTACAGGTAAGAACACTCAAGTCGCATCAAAGCAAGTAAGTGTGTACTTTATTTCTAGGTAACTAAGATGACTTGGCTTTTTTTGTTTGTTTGTCTTTGGGCCATGCCCAGCAGTGCTTGAGGATCACTCCTGGAAGGGCTTGGGACCATATGGAGTGCCAGGGATTGAACATGGGTCTTCCACGTGCAAGGCCCTACCCACTGTACTATTGCTCCTGGGCTTTCTTAAGAAGGGTCCTAGTCAAGAGGTGGGGAGGCAGCTCAAAGGGTTGGGGAACAAGACTCCTTTACAGGAAGCTTGGATTCAATCTTCTAATCTATGACCGGTAATGGATGATATAACTATACAGAGAGCCTTGAATATTTATTCTCCCCACCAAAGCATTCTAAATGAGTATTAGTTTTTCTTGTATCATAAATATTTTTTAAGGATGAAAGCTCTAGACTTTTTCCTCTTGGGAAAATATCTTTATACGCTTAGTCCTCTCAGGGATGGCTCCAAAACAAACCACCTCCCCAAAAAAGAAGGTTGATAGCATTGGCAGGGATTTTAGGAATCAGCTGTCACTCTTTTGATTACCTGAGCTCTTAAACCATTGCCTGCAATCCCTTCTGTAACACAAGACGTAAGTGACTAGCCTATGTGTCCTAAGGAATATTCAACTCCTCCACTGCTGTCATTGCCTTACTTAAATTCTTCTAAGCAGACCAGCATGCACGATAAACAGTAAATGTACCCAGTGAACAGGAGCAATATAGCACAGCAGTAGGGTGTTTGCCTTGCACCTGGCTGGCCCGGCCGAGCTGGGTTCGATTCCTCTTGCCTATCTCAGAGAGCCTGGCAAGCTACCAAGAGTTATCTCGCCCTAAAGCTACCTGTGATGTATTCAATATGACAAACACAGTAATAACAAGTCTCACAATGGAGATGTTACTGGGCCCACTCGAGCAAATCAATGAACAACAGGAGGACAGTGCTACGGCGCTACAGTCTTATTCCAGAAAGAAAGCTCACTGTTAGTACCGGGTGTATTCAGTGGAAAATTAAAAATTAATATAAATATCAATATGAATTCATTATTTAAAATTGCCACAGATTTCATAACAAGCACAGATACATAAAGGTCCTACCAAGGCGTGAGCTGGCTGACACTGAATATGTGTAACTTGTCAATATATTGAGAGATCTGACATGGAATGCCTTATGATTTCTGACAGCATGATAGAAGCTAGAAATGTTTAGATAAGATGCTGTTACTAGTTCAGCAAAAGTTTAGAGGATTTTATACCATGAACAGTGAGAAAATTTCTCTCTTTATTGAAATTACCTAATGATGCCATCCTGGAGTGATAACGGAGGAAGGTATTAGGGCAGTGAGTGGCGCTGGCAGGTTGCGGACAGTCCCATATGGTTGTTTAATGAGCCGAGACAGCGTCAGGGAGAAGAGCGTTGCTTTGGAGGGGTGCATGGAGGGAACAAAGTAGGTGGCAGGGCCAGGTGGCATTATGGTCTCTTGGCTCTCTCTCAAGTGAAACTACTGGCATCTGCATACATTCTGGATTTTATCCAGGGGATACCTACCTGCCCTCAGATGTAATGAAATGCTGCCTTTTAATATACATATTGATATCACATTATCAGTTTTTAATGCCTCTCAGAGATATGAAAAAGAAAACTAGCTAATGTTTTCCAACTTCCAAATCTGACCTATTTTTCCTTTCAACTTCTACATACTATAATGAGCAAAAATGAATATTCCCTCCAAATTGAAAGGAGTTAGCAAACATGAACACACTGTATAAATATTTAGGCACTAAACTACTTTTGGGAGGGGATTCTTCTACTACTGCAAATAATGTCTGAAGGAAAACTGATTTCACTTATCAGTGTTTTTTGAGTTTTAGGCATCTCTGTAAAATTTCAGGCTGTTCTTTTGAGACTATTATACTTACAAATTTATGTTTACAAGGTTGAAATTAGAGTTTTGTCAAAATAAACTTTACACAGAGGAAATATATTTAATAGTCAATGTAATCATACAACCTAAGTTATACACACACGTGCAACCTTGTATAAGAGACAAGAAATGATGAGAAGAATCTGAAACCTGGCCATCTCCACTACTGTAAAAACAGCCACAGCTTAGATCCTCTTGCCAGTTTGTAGCATCATGGACATTTACAGAGGCATAGATGTGGTATCCAAGCAACTGTTAATGCTTTCTTACATCAACAAAGAGTATTATAACCCCAAACCTCAGGAGGGAAAAAGATGGCCAGTAACAAGAATTCTGAGACACTGAATGAATGTTCTCTCAAGGTTTGGATGCCACAAAAATACTAGAGTGTTTGGCTTGTATTCATAATTTGGAGACTCAATAGTTAGGAAACACCAAAGATGGTGGTACTTTGATTTTCACATCAACTATGTCTTCAGCTTTCAAACACAAATAAATCAAAATTTATTTTCTTTCCTTCTTTCTTTGATCCCTGGACCATCTGAATAAAAGAGTATCTTTCTGAAATATAAAAGGTGGGACATACTGAGTTAAGGGGGGGGGGGGCGGGAGGGGGGGGAATTCACAACAGTTATTCATGGATTTTGCCAAAACTCACCATCAGAGGGCACAACAGTACTGCAATAAACAACCCTCAAACTCTGCCAAGAAGAGAGCCTCTGGTGCACCTAGAAAACACAAAGACACATTCACTGTCAGAACAACAAATGTCATATGTACGTGTGTGTGTAGGAAATAGCTTTGTTTGCTTAAGTAGCATGTATTCTTCATATAAAAGTTTTAAAAAAAAACATACTTCTCTTAGGGCCAGATAGATATAGAGGATAGGGCGCTTGCCTTGTACATGGCTAACCTGGGTTCAATTCCTTGCCCCCTGAATACTGCAAGGAGTGATCTCTGAGCACAGATCCAGGAGTAAGCCCTGCACACCATCAGTCGTAGTCCAAAAACAGAACAACAATAATAATAATATTCCCTCAAACTCCCAGCATTGTAAGATATTTTGGCTTGTTTCAACAATTTTATACTAATCTATTTATGTAACACATCACATGAACTGTTTCCTCATCTTTGTTTAAAAACACATAATATTAGTTTCAGCTTTAACCAAACCAATACTAAAAGTTCTTGCTGCTTCTTTCTCCTCCTTCCTAACTTAGAGGCCAACAAATGGCCTTTTATAGATTTTTTACTAAGTAGAAGACAGTTAAGTAACACAAATATATTATTGTTGGATAGTACTGGTAAGTATAAGTATCGGGTAGTACTGATAAGAACAAAAATACTGATTGATGTTGAGCTAACTTGAGGACATGGTTCGAGAGCAACTAGGCAAGAAAAATAAAAAGAATCAAAATGGGAAGAGAAATAAAGTTGTCACTATTTGCAAGTTACATGAAACACACACACACACACACACACACACACAGAGAAAATGCCAGAAAGTCCACTGAAAAAGTTACTAGAAATAATAAGCCAGTCACAGTAAAGTTGCAGGTTACAGAATCAAACATACAAAAATTTATGCAAAAAAAATCTATATACAATGAAACAGAAATCAAGAAATCTATCTTATTTACAATTCCTCAAAAAGAATTTTAAAAGAATAAGGAAGACGCCTGGCTGCATTCAGAGTTTTTTCCTGGCTCTGTGCTCAGGAATCACTCTGGGAGAGGCTTAGGGGATCATAGTGATGCCAAGGATCTAAACCAGGGTTGACTGCATGCAGGCAAATACTTTACCTGGTGCACTAGCTCTCTGGCCCTGTAGGGTACACCTAACAAAAGAGGTGAAAGACCTAAAAAACAAGGACTATAAGACATTGCTTAAAGAAAAGGCACAGAAAAAAAGATATTCCAGGCTTTGGACCGAAATATTCAACATTGTTAAAATGACTACTATATGGGTAGCCAAAGAAACATACAGATTCAACATAATCCCCATTAAAACTACAATGGCATCTTTCAAGGAAACAGAACAAACATCACTTAAATTTGAACAGAACAATGCAAACTTGGGTGAAACTGGAGGGTATCATGTTAAAATAAGTCAGAAGAAAACAAACAATGGCATTAATTTAAAAATAATTCAGGTGCTTTTGGAAAACAGTATGGACGATTCTCAAAAAATTAGAAATTGAGCTCCCATTTGATACAGCAATACCACTCCTGGGAATATATCCCAGAGAGGCAAAAAAGTATAGTCGAAGTGACATCTGCACTTGTTTGTTCATTGCAGCACTCTTTACAATAGCGAGAATCTGGAAAAAACCTGAGTGCCCGAGAACAGATGACTGGTTAAAGAAACTTTGGTACATTTACACAATGGAGTACTATGTAGCTGTTAGAAAAGACAAAAAGTCACGAAATTTACATACAAGTGGTACTACATGGAAAATATCATGTTAAGAGAAATGACTCAGAAAGAAAGGGATAGACATAGAAAGATTGCATTCATCTGGGGAACATAAAGTAACAAAATAGGAGACTAACACAGCGGTAGGGCATTTGCCTTGCACGCAGCCAACATGGCCGACCCAAGTTCGATTCCTCCGCCCCTCTCGGAGAGCCCGGCAAGCTACCGAGAGTATCTCGCCCGCACGGCAGAGCCTGGCAAGCTCCCCGTGACGTATTTGATATGCCAAACACAGTAACAACAAAATCTCCAATGGAGATGTTACTGGGCCTGCTCGAGCAAATTGATGATCAACGGGAGGGCCTTTACTTTACTTTACTAACACCCAAGAATGGCCGAGATTAGTACCAGGAATTTTACTCCATGGCTTGGAGGCCAACCACACATACTAGGGGAAAAGGGAGCTTAGATAAAGAAGGGAGCACCAAATAAAGGTGTTGGGAGGATCCTCCCAGGATGGGAGAAGCATGCAGAAAGTAGACTATAGACTAAACATGATTGTCACCCATTGCCTCTTTTGCAAACCACAACACGCAATAAGAGAGAGAGAACAAAAGGGAATGCCCTGCCACAGAGGCAGGGTGGGATGGGGGGATGGGGGGTGGGAGGGATACTGGGATCCGTGGTGGTGGGAAATGGGCACTGGTGGAGAGATGGGTATTTGATCATTGTATAATTGAAACCCAAGCACAAAAATGTGTAAGTCTGCAACTGTACCTCATGATGTCTCACTATTAAAAAATTTTTTAATAAAAAAAATAATTTAGGTGCAAGACAAGATTATCCACACTCACCACCGTATTCAAAATAGTCCTAGCCAGAGCAACTAGACAAGAAAAATAAATGAAAGGAATTCAAATGGGAAAAGAAATTAAATTTATATTTTATACAGAGAAACAAGGGAATAGGCAGTATTAAAGATGATAAATTACAGAGTTCAGATTATCAAATTGGGGCGGGGTGCCAGGGTGATTGGGGGGAGGGATAAAGAGGAGTAAAAGCAAAGTATCATTGGTAGAGGTGGGTGGACACTTTGCTGGAGATGCTCTGTTGTAACTATATACACCAAAACCACAAATGTTACACTATTGTAAGATGCTATCTAAACAGCAACAACAGGAGTCAAAAATCAAACAAAAACCCCAGCCTAGCCAAAACAAAGAAGATAGAAGGTATCATGGTTCTCAACTTAAAACCTTAAAACTACCTTATAAAATTAATCAGATTAGTACAGTATTTTGAACAAAAACTAGCACATAGATTGCTCATACAGATATTAAAGTCCCAAGTAAATTCATATACATGTGGGCACCTACGTACACCATATATATGTGTATGACAAAGGGACAGGTAGCAGACAATGGAGAAAGGAAAGTCTTCCTTTGTGGTGCTAGAAAAACTGAAAATCCACTTGCAGAAGAATGGAACTAGACCGCTATTTTGCACTATACTCAAAAACTAATTCAAATGGATAAAAGACTTGCAAATAAGACATGAAGTCATAAAACACACAGAAGAAAATACAGATAAAATATTCCATGACACTGTCTTCTGTGTTATCTTTGGTTACTCAGCCAGGGAAACAAACAGCCGAACCTACAACCTAAAAAGCTTCTGTACTGAGAAAGAAACTATCAAAAACAAAAAGACATTCTGTTGAACGTGAAATAAAATTTCCTAACATAAAACAACAAGGGGCCTCAAACTCATAAGAATGGCCTTTATCACAAAGATCAGAAACAAATGTTGTTACAATTTTGAAGCAAAAAGAACTCTCATACATTGTTGATGGAAATGTGAACTGATCAACCTCTTTGGAAATCCGTTGGAGGATTCTCAAGATGTTAACAGAATTACCCTATGATACAGTAATCCTACTCCTATGCATCTATTTTAAGAATAGGAAAGTACTAATTTGAGAGAAAATATGTACTCTTATGTTCACTCCAGTACTATTTACCATAGATAAGAGAGGGAAACAATCCAAGTACCCAATAATAAATTAACAGATAAAGAGGTGATTTATGTATATAAGGGAATAATACTTATTTATAAAGAAAGATGAAAGCTTGTCATTTGAAACATGGATGGAATGGCAGGCATAAAGCTAAGCAAAGTCAGAAAGAGAAAGACAAATATCTAATAAGCTGATTCACGTATAGTATATAAAGAAACTATGCAAAAGAACAGATGAAACCAATCCAAAACTAATTGGCAGTGGAGGAGGTAGAGGAATTTCAATACTCTGGTGGAGGTGTGAGAACTTACAACTGAAAAGTTGTGAAAAAGCCTTCCGAAAATATAAACCAATGATATAAACCATTGCTTCAATGAAAATATTTCATTTAAAATTATTTGAGATTTCATATGACTGTGACACACTAAGCTATTTAGTCACCGCTATGGAGAATCTTTAAGTTAATATATACAATGACTTTACATGGACTATTACTTGTTTTTAAGCCTGAAAAAAAAAAACTTGTTTTCATTGTATAATCGAAACCCAAGCACAAAAAATTGTAAATCTACAACTGTACCTCATGGTGTTTCACTAAAAATAAAATAAAATAAACTTGTTTGAATTCAATCTTACTCAGAGATCCAGGGATGCCCTGGTGGAAAACAGGCATGCTGAGAAATCTCACAATCCTAATCTTTTGCTCCAGAAGGGGATCCAAGAATTCTGGAAGCATTCACGTAGCTTGGAAACTAATGATGGGGGCCAGTAATGTAGCTCAGTGGTAGGGCACTAGACTGCATGTATGTGTCGCACACACATGCGCACGCATACACACACACACACACACACACACACACACACACACACACACACACACCTCTCTTCCTCCCTACTTGAAAAGCAATATACATAGTGGTTAAAAACACAGAATCTGTAATCAGCTTGTTCAAGTTTAGATTCTAGCTCAATAACTTACTCTAAATCTTAGGCAGACTCATTAGTCTCTTTGTGTCTTCATTTTGTGAATGAAAAATGGACAAAATAATTAATACTGGCATCTACCATATAAAGCTTCTCGGAGGACTAGATGAGTATTACAAATAAAACCTCTAAAGCAGTGTTTGGCAAAGAGTAAATGCTCAATAGATATGACTGGGAATCAATTTAACAAGTGATATTAAACGTTTATAGATAAAAACAACAACAAAAAAATCCTAGTCACTATTGAAAGAGATGAAGAGATACAAAGGAATGGAAAAATATTTTATGTTCATGGTATGGAAGAATTAACAA